GGATTTTTGCATTTTAAAATTCTCTACACTTTTATCTTCCTAAAAATACCATTCTTTAATCTCTATGAAACTTAGAACTGTAAAAAATATAGTTTTAATTTGTCATCGACTGCTTTGATCAATGAGGATTTTTACATTAAAACGCGTTTTTCTCCAAACGTGATTTTTTTATATTCGATGCACCTTTTCTCAGGAACTACTGCTCACAGGTATCTAAAATTTTTATGTCTTATTTATTTGGTTTTCTAATATTTATTGAAATGAGCTTTTGTGATAAACTTAGAAAAAAAAAATTTGTTTTTATTTTTAGAGTGAGAAAAAGTGCTAAATTTTACTAAGCCTAACAAAATATTCTGTAAATTACTGTAAAATTCAAAATGTTTTAAAAGTTCATTTCAGTATAATCAGATAGGTATACTTTAATTACACAAAAAATTTCAAGCGTGTATGTAAAGCAGATTTTGAGAAAAGATACATCGAAAATGGGCAATTTAACATTGTCGTATAGGGGTTTCTGTAACCACTTAAATCAAATGATTAAATCCATTGTTATTTTGAAGGGCATTACTTCCTTGTCGATTAGTGTAATGTTTCGGTTAATGTTATCAAATTAGTCGTGTATAATCGTGATCAAATTAAACGGCGTAAACTGTACACTGCGGGGGGGGGGGAAATGGTGCAGTTCTATATCTCCCGTTCTACTGGGCCAATTAACGAAATTCAAATTGCATTTTCCATGTCCCGAAAGCGCAACTTGGGATATATACATTATATATATATAGCTTTTGTTCTAACATAGGCATTTTGACACAAAATCGAACTTTTTCTGAAATAATATGCCGCTTTTTTTGCCATAGTTCGATTCTACGACTCAAGTTATGCGTAGCTATTGAATTTTGTCATTTTTGGTGAGACATTTATGGATAAATTTTAAAATTTATCTTGGCGAATTCTTTTCAGTTTGCGCCAAGAATAACTCACTTGGCGAACTTCTGAATTTATAGTAACCTATTTTCCTTTCCTTTTTCTTCATTGTCCACGAGCGGGAAAAAAGACATCGTTCATACTTTACAATTATATTAACTTTCAAATAGTTTTAACAAAGTGCATAAACCGCAGTTTCGTTATCATCGCTTATAATAAATACGCCAAATTTCAAAATCCGCCAAAATGTAAATTGACGTACAGGGGTTGGACAAAAATATGGAAACACCTTTAGAAAAACATGTTTCCTTGCTTAATATGGTGTAGGAAACCCGTTGGCATCCAAAACAGCTTGCAGTCTTCTCGGAATGGATAAATACAGTTCCTGTATGTTTGCCAAGGGAATATTATACCATTCTTCCTGCAAAACGGTGGCAAGTTCAGATAACGATATTGGCGGTGGATAACGAGAACGCACTTTCCGTTCCAATGTAGACCACAAAGGTTCGATAATATTCAGGTCTGGTGACTGTGGTGGCCAGGGAAGATGGAACAACTCATCCTCGTGCTCAGAAAACCAGTCCTGGACAATGCGAGCTGTGTGAACAGGGGCTTTGTCGTCTTGGAAGACACCATCACCATCGGGGAACAACATTTGTACCATGGGATGAACTTGATCGGCCAAAATGTTCACATAAGTCTTGGCAGTCATGTGCCCTGACACAGTTATCATGGGGCTAGCAGAGAACCACGATATGGCTGCCCAAACCATAACGGAACCCCCGCCATGTTTCACTCTTGGCAACAAGCAGTCTGTATTATAGGCTTGAGATGGCGTTCTCCAGACGTAAACTCGGCCAGAAGTGGGAAACAATGTGAAAGAAGACTCGTCAGACCATATTACTCGCTTCCACTGCTCTATAGTCCAGGCTTTATGACTTAAACACCACCTTTTCCTGTTACGGACATTAGCATCACTGATGAGTGGCTTCTCAATTGCAGCACGGCCAGCAATTCCCTGTTTATGAAGCTCCCTTCTAATTGTTTTGGTACTCACAGGGTTCGGTAACACAACATTCATTTCAGCAGTAACTTTTGCAGCTGTGGTCTTATTTTTCGTCACAATTGCCCTTAATGATCGTCTGTCACGATCACTCAGGACACACTTTCGTCCGCGCTGTGATTTAGCAGACGATGTTTTTCCGCTTTTCAAATATGCGGAATAAACCTTCGATACAGTACCTCTTGAAACACTAAACACCTCGGCTACCTTGCTTACGGAAGCACCTACCATACGTGCTCCAACAATTTGCCCACGTTCGAAGTCTGTTAACTCTGACATAATGCAATGACAACCTCACATAACAGTACTCCGACAACAACTGAAGTGTTTAGCACATTTACGAAGTTGTATAGGTGGCGTCAGTAGTCAAAAACGCCAGCGCCACCTACATATTTCATTAAAATCAATCTTTCTTTTCAAACATGCATTTCACAAGGTGTTTCCATATTTTTGTCCATCCAGTGTATATCTTAGGAAATTTTGAATAAAACTAATTTTTTGCAGCTGTGCTTAGAAATACATCCACTTTAAGATGATGGCAAAACTTTTATAGGTTATAATTCAAAATTTTTTTTGAAAAATTTATAAAAATTATTTAAAAATGCAAATTTTAAAATTAAATCATAAAAAATAGACTAATTTTATTTGAAATGAAACTAAATTTCGAAATATGAAAGGAAGAATCAAATAAGTTTAGTAAAAAAGAGGTATTAGAGAGATAATAATAAAAAGAGATGTTAATAAATATATACCAAATTCAATTAACATTGAGAAGCTAATATTTTAGAGCTAATTTTTTAAAAAGTAATCGTGCGAGTTTTACAAAACTTGGCAGTTTGGCATAATTTGAATCGTAGAATCGAAAGAAATTGCCATGTCATTTCAGAAAAAGTCCGATTTTTGCGTCAGAATACCTATATTAGAACAATGCTATGTATAAATCTAATACATATTCTAAGTCGCGCTTTTGAGACATGAAAAACTCAAGTTGGATTTCGTTAGTCGGCCCTTTAGAATGGAAGCTATAGAATTGTCCTACTTTTGTTTCTGCGCAGTGTACGTTCTCTTTAAAATACCTTACAATCGCGGTATGCATGGGAAGCCAGAATTCTAAAGTAAAGAAACACATATTTTATGAATATATCTCCAATTATGTGAAAAATGAAACGAAATTTAAGTACTTTAATTAGATACTATTTATTTAGAACCTTTGCATAAGCAATTTTATTTCAGTATTAAATATTGTTGAACTCTTGCTTTCTTATTTTTCCCTTCCACCCGTCTACAAGATTTAGTCTCCAAGCTAAGCTGCAAAATGATATAGGGAAGGGAAATGAAATTTGCTTACAGTATTTATGTCCGAGCTTTCTTATAATGAGGTAGTTTCTTTCGAATATCTTGCATCAAACTAGCTTTTAGCGTGCCTTTAAAAACTTTCATTCCATTAATTTGGTTTTAGTCACTTGCTTTAACCCTTTGTAGCACAGTGTGTTCGGTCTAGACACACCTAAAAATTTCCATCTGTACGCACAGAAAAATTGAATGAAAAAAGGATTTATAGGTTAATATAGGTTACTCTGAACCTTCTTTATTTATAGTAGATGGCAGCTTAACACAAACCAGTCCATATATTTTAGCCATGTTTAGTTTTTTAAGACCCTCATTTTTCAAAGAAATCTTCTAGATTTTTTAGGGTAAAAAACGAATTGTTTGAAAAGAAATTTCTACGTTATTTTTTTTGGCTGTATGCTAATCTCCTTATTCTATATTAGTTTTAAATTTTTGCCTTGAAATCTTGCCTAAAATCAAACGGCAAACCCTAGGTGTGCCCAGAATGGGCTCACCGATCATCTAGGACAACTCAGACTCTGTATTCTTTATTTCTCCGCATCTCATCGGTCAGTTCATTGACAACAATGCTCGGTTCAGCACTCTTTTCGAAGCTCTATTCAATCAGTCTGCCCGCTTTAGACACATCCACAGAATTAAAACGATAAGTGCTATCTTCACAAAATTTTGCTTGTTTACTGCTCTAGGCCTAATTAGACTGCCTCCCTTTTTTATTATTTTTTAAATTTTTTTATCAAAACTCCGACTTTAAATGGTAGCGTGCCGAAAAGGGTTAACGTAAGAGTTGTTCGTCTTTCAGATGTATTTCTTCACCCTGCTTATTGCTTTTGTCTTGCTGGTTTTATCCGGTAACTAACACTTAATTCTCCAGTGGCATTTTCTTTATTCAACTCTTACAGAGAACTGTAGAATATCTTATTTATCTGCTACCGTTGTTAAACTTCCAGGCGATACCTTTGAATTTATCTTCAGTAGCAATCTAGATAAGGTGCTTTCAAAATATTTGTGGACGACGCTGATAGCATTTATTTATTTATTTACTTTCGTAAAATGGAAGACGATCGCGGGAACTACGGAAACATTAACAGAAACGTTTCATAAGGAAATTAAGATGTGTACGCTGATTTAAAGGGTCCACCAGCAGCCGAGCAGTAAGTCGCTGAGCATTGGTAGTTCGGTCCGAGATTCGAATCCCGCGAACGGGCTGGCTGCATGAGGGTTTATGTGGTTTTCCCATGTGTAACGTGTTAATAGGAGCCAGTTTTCCTTGGAAAGTCCTCCCCGAAGGTATCCCTTCGCTCTGCATTTTCAGAGAAATGCACTTCTCTTTCATTTCCCTTATTTTTATGCAAGGAACCCAAATAAATAAAATATACCTAAGCAGTCAAAGATGAGAAAGCAGTGTGGTTTGTAGCAGGATCGAAGGAGAGGGAAGTCCCTTAGGATTATCAACAATAATAACGTTGCAATATATCTTTGCCGCCACGCAGCAAATTTCTTAATTTTCGGACACGAATCGGTTAAAAGCTAGTTCTAATCTTACTTGGCTATCTGCCAAAGATTACATAATAACGCAAAATTCACTCGCAGTCAGACATCAGGTTTCGAAATAACGTATTTTATTTTTTTAGCTTTCTCTGGAGGAAACGAATCCATATGCTTTTCTGTGCCGGCCATCAACACCGGCAGATACGTAGGGAAAATGATTTTCAGATCACATCCTTAAGTAGTTTAGATCTTAGATGTGTTGTTTCTGATACTTCATATCGCAGTGAAGCTTCTTTAAGAGTTGCAAAATGCATATAAAGAAACTTACAGCAGAAACGTTTTGTGCTTCTCCAGAGCAACGAAATTCTACAAGAAACACAGTTTGGTCAACTGAAGAATTAAGTAAATTTTCGTTTGAAGCTCGTCATATGACTTCAGTAAGTTAGCGTTTTTCAAATTTTGTTTCGAATTTGTTTTCGAATAGGTTTCCGAATTAGGCTCAGATTTGATTTTATTATTTAATGTAATCTCTAAAACGTTTTTCGTTTGCTTGGAATTAAAAGTTTTAGTTAAGCATAATCGGGGACCGCCCATTTTTAGAGTATTATTTAAATGTCTATTTGGTTTAAAGTATATTTGTATTGCGCTCAATATTTATATTTGGTATTGCATTTCGTATGTGCATATAATATTTTGACCGATTGTTTTTCGAATGGTCATTTTACATAATATAAAGTTTTATTTTTTATTAGTCCAAAGAGGCGTTGTCCCTGAAGGACTATTATTTTCGTTTTGCGATTTTGAGTTGAATCACTATAAATGTCCGTTTCACTTTTCAAACTGTTGCCAAACAATGTTAGAGTCCTGCACTATATTTGAAGAAATTAAATCATGAAAAATCTGCATCAACGTATGTATATTTCTCGCATTGTGATAAAACAACGGTACTTAGAGCCATCGAATTTTGAACAACGTCATCCTCCTACGAATATGGTTATGTGGAAGACCAAATTTGAAATTTTGAATTTGTTTAAGATCGATTTCATATTTTGTAAAATTTTAACGAATTTTTGATTAACAAACTTAAGGATTTCAAAGCGAGTAATGGCAAAACTCTACGGGAAAAAAAAAAAAAAATCTGAAATGTTTCAGATTTTAAATTACGTCCAAAGGGGCGTTTTTTAACATTTTGTGTGTTACCTTTCTTTATTAAATATCATGTTCCTCGCACTTAAACCATAAGATCCAGTGCAACAGCAATATCGCAAAATAGTTTTAAAACGAGCATATCTTTAGAATTTCCGATACAGAGACTCACGCGCTGGAGATAAAAATGTTTTTTCTGCACAACGTTGCCATTGCTCGCTTTGAAATCCTTGAGTTTGTTTTTCAAAAATTCGTCAAAGTTTTAAAAAATAGGAAATCGATCATAAAACAAATTTCAAATTTCAAATTTCTTCTTCCACATGCTCATATTCGTTGGAGGATTACGTTATTCAAAATTCGATGACTCTATGTACCGTTGTTTTATCACAATACGAGAAATATACATACATTTATGCAGATTTTTCATTATTTAATTTCTTCAAATATAATGCAGGACTCTAACATTTTGTGGCAACAGTTTGAAAAGTGAACCGACATTTATGAGTCCGACGCAAAATGCCAAAACGAAACTAATAGTCCTTCGGGATTCAAATCCCTTTGGACTAAAAAAAAAAAAAAAAAAAAAAAAAAAAAAAAAAAAAAATACTATAAATAACCGATTGTGTGTAAGGGAGGATGGATGATAAATTTAAATGTCTTAATGCTTCCGCAGTAGCGACTTTTGCCAAGTGGCTGCTGCTAAAATCTTTCCCTTCTTTTTGTCTATCATTTTGACTCATGATCATATTTTTAAGGTATGGTTTAAGTAGAAAGAACATGATATTTAATAAATAAAGGTAACCCACAAAACATTAAAAAACGCCGCTTTGGACGTAATTTAAAATCTGAACCCTTTCAGATTTTATTTTTATTTATTTATTTATTTATTTATTTTTGCGTAGTCAATTTGAAACAATGTTTTATTCTTTTTTCCAAGTCTTTCGAAGGCGTGTAGGGAAAATCCTGGTACATTTGAGATTCACTTTTTTTCGCTTTTATATGAACTTTCAGTGTAATGAAAATTTGTTTCTTTTTTCTGTTTTTGATCTTAAATGAATCAGGAGAACGAAACACGTTTTGAAGCTTTAATTCATTTTCCCCTGATGAGTTCTGGAGTTTCCGTAAAAGGAGATAATTATTTACATTCTTATTTCTTCTATATATTTTCCCTTTTGCATTTTTAGTTTTCGAGTTTGTACTACTATTATCGTTTTTTAAATTTTGAATTGTTTAGGTATTGTGCTTAACCTCTTATACAAGGATGCAATTATTAATATGGTTGAGGAATTGCCTTGCTTTGACTCCAATTTACGTTTAACTTGCTGTAAGTTTATTTTACTCCAATTCTGCAGCTATAGCGTAGAACGGGTATAAAAATTTGTTTTAATAAAATTTTGCCTCTTATTAAGTTTCTTTATATATATATGTAATGATATTTTTTAAATCAATTGATTAAATTAAATTCTAATAATATTGCTTAATAATGTGGTGGCGATTCTCTACCTAAATTGCATCCCTGTTCCTAAATTTTGGCGAAATCCTTTCTTTAGTATAAAATATATTAACCTGTTGGCGCCCGTCAAATCGCCAAACTCATAAATCTGTCATATTACATAAAGTCCTTAAGAACACTCCTGATGAGAAGATAGCGTCACCTCGTGATTTCAATTAATATCGCTGATTGGATGAGCCTCGTGATGCACACATATGTATAAATAGGGCTTCTGCTCAAGGTACGAAAAGAATCTGCCTAAGAATATTTTCATCGCGTTCCCATTTATTATTTGCACTTTCCTACACAAGCACATGCCAATGAGCCTATTAATCGTAAACTCTTTCCTATCCCCTTTTTGCTTTCGTGTTTGTATTGTGTATTAAAAAATTATAAAAACCAAAAAAGTATAAAATATAAAATACAAAAAAATTATAAAAACCTAAAAACTTATAAAAAAATTATACTTAAGTTTTTATTTTCTTATCCCTATCCCTAAACTTTCTTGAGCATGTGGCTCCCTCTATTGAGCATGAAGTAAATCACTTATGCCAAATTTTTCCTATTTCTGCTCACTTTTAGTAATTCTGATGTGGAGGTACATGGTTTTGAACCATAGGCACTCCGAAAATTGCAAATCATTGGCATTGTACGAAAAGAACGCTTGTGAGATGGATGCTAAAAAAATACCCGCTCCGATTTCCCGGTTGGGAACTAGCTGATAGTTGACATTCTGATTGTCCTTAGGGGATTAGATCAATATAGCTTATTAAAGCCCAACTGGGCTAATATAAGCATAAGCAATTAGCCTTTAAGCATTTAAGGATGCTAAAATAAACCTACCACTTTATATTCCAAAATTTGTCTCATTCCTGTTGCCCCGGCTGCACAAAAATAATGTATGAGAAACTACATTTCATATATATATATATATATATATATATATATATAATTAAAATGCTAGGTAGTAATTACTATATAAAAAAGACCTTTTTTTTTTTTTTTTTTTTGTTGTGTGTGTGTGTGTGTGTGTGTGTGTGAGTGTTACTGGCAATGTATGGAACGCCGGCATTGAATATCTAGGCACTTTATACAATGCCTGGCGTTTTTAAGCAAAGCATGAAATATGAGAATTATTTTATACTTATATGAGAAATGTTTAGACAAAGAATGAAGTAAAGGGCATGATAAGGTTCTTATTTAAAAATGTTCATTCCTCAAAATTGAAAATGCTATTTTGAAAAAATAATGAAAGACTGCCATTAAAAAAAAGTTAGATAATCTTGGTACGCCATAATAAATTTGCATTCTGTATCTGGCTGAGATTGGAAATCAGTAAGATCTATCTGACAATGGGCAATAAATTAAAAAAAAAAAAAAAAACATAGGTCTTGCCCTTATAGTACTTTTTTTTATTTTTTCTTGCAAAGCTCACCAAGACAGATGTACACTGTGGGAAAAAAAAAAAAAAAAAAAGGGAAGAGCAGTTCTATAATCTCCCGTTCTACTGGACTGATTGACGAAATTCAAATTTAGTTTTCCACGTCTCGACAGCGCGACTTAGGATATGTATTAGATTTACACATAACGTTGTTCTAATATATGTATTTTGACACAAAATCAAACTTTTTCTGAAATGACATGCCTTTTTTTTTCCATATTTAGATTCAAGGACTCAAATTATGCCAATCTGCCAAGTTTTGTAAACATCGAGCGAGTAGTTTCTGAAAGTAGCTTCAAAATTTTAGCTCCTCAGTGTTAATTCCATTCGGTATGTATTTATTAATATCTCTTTTTTTCTGAAACGTATTTGATGTATTCCTACACAGTTCGAATTTTAGATTCATTTTATATAAAACTAGGTGTACCCGCCCGGCGTTGCCCGTGCATTTAGAAAATGCAGATAAGTGAATAGCGCAGGAATAGTAGTGTAGGAATTGTACTGTCTCTCTCTTTCCCCCCCCACAAGCTACAAAAAAGAAATGAATTGTAATTAATCGATTTAATGTATCGTCAAAACAGCAAACTAACGCTAGAATAAAGAAATCAATTGTTACAATCGAACGTTATTTGAAAACAAACAATATCAGTGAGTCAAAAAAACCGTGATTAATTAATTAAATATTTTTTTTAATTTTTCTAATTCAAAAATCGAAAATCGGGCTTCGAGGTCTGGTGGCCAGCCCCTTTGTGCTTCCGTATAAAAAATTCCAGGTCCCTGCGTGCGATAGATTTGGCTGGAGAGCCGGTCAGACAGAAAGACAGACACATTACACTTGCTTTTATTATTATACTAGGTGTACCGCCGGCGTTGCCCGTTGCATTTAGAAAATGCAGATAAGTGAATAGCGCAGGAATAGTTAGTGCAGGGAATAGTAGTGTAGGACATGTAGTAGACGGTCTCTCTCTCTCCCCCCCCCACAAGCTACAAAAAAGAAATGAATTGTAATTAATCGATTTTAATGTATCGTCAAAACAGCAAACTAACGCTAGAATAAAGAAATCAATTGTTACAATCGAACGACCGTTATTTGAAAACAAATAATAATATCAGTGAGTCAAAAAAACCGTGATTAATTAATTATAAATAATTTTTTTTTTAAATTTTTCTAATTCAAAAATCGAAAATCGGGCTTCGAGGTCTGGTGGCCAGCCCCTTTGTGCTCCGTATAAAAAATTCCAGGTCCCTGCGTGCGATAGATTTGGCTGGAGAGCTCGGTCAGACAGAGACAGACAGAACCATTACACTTGCTTTTATTATTATAGATTATAGATTCGCCTATTTTTTATGATTTATTTAAAAATAATTTTTATTAATTTTTCGAAAAAAATTTTGATGTGTAATCTATAAAATTTTTACCATCATCTTAAAGTGGATGTATTTCTAAGCATACCTGCAAAAAATTAGTTTTTTATTCAAAATTTCCGAAGATATGCCAATATAATTAATATACTGGCACGTTTCGAAATTTAGCATATTTGTTGAAAGCGATAATAACATCAAATGTGGTTTAAGCTCTTTATTAAAATTATTTGAAAACAGAAACGATGTGACTTTTTTCCGCTCATGCACAGTGTTAAAAGCTAGGAACGCTGTAACTTTTTTTTCAGCTCCTGCACAAGGAAAATAGGTTGCTATAATATTAAAAAGTTCGTCAACTGAATTATTCTTGGCGCAAGCTGAAAAAAATGCGACAAGTAAATTTTTAAATTTCTCCGTAAATTCCGCGCCCACCAGCGGCCGAGCGGTAATGTCGCTAAACACTGGTAGTTCGGTCCGAGGTTCGAGCCCGCGAACGGGCTTGACTGCATGGGTGTTTTCGTGGTTTTCCCATGTGTAACATGTATACGAGCCAGTTTCCCTTAGAAAGTCCTCCACGAAGGCATCCCTCCCCTTGGGCAGATAGCCCTAGTGTGCTTTGTCATAATTAAGTACACTACACTACCGTAAATTTCGCACCATATTTTACAAAATTTAATATTTTGTAAAATATGGTGCGTCGAGTGATTTGAGTCGTAGAATCGAAATTGAGTCGTAGAATCGAAATATGGGAAAAAATTGTATGTTATTTCAGAAAAAGTCCGATTTTTTGTCAAAATACCTATGTTAGAGCAATGCTGTATATAAATCTAATACATATCCTAAGTCGCGCTTTCGAGACATGGAAAACGCTATTTGAATTTCGTCCCAATCGGCGCAGTAGAACGGGAGATATAGAACTGCCCCGCCTTTTTTTTTTTTTTTAAACACGTAACGTTTTTGTATTTGGTTGAAAATTCTCTCGATATTCTGTTACGTCTTCCGTGTTGAAGAATTTCATGAATTACATGAAATAACTCATTATACAGTGACGTAATACTGTAAAGTGACGTAATAATGTAAAGTACTAACACCTTCAGAAGTCAAACAACAAAAATCTGCGTTGTATTTTCAAAATTTTTCACAGGATAGGATGAACAAGATAGGAAAAAAAAAATCCCTATTTTTTCCTATCTTGTTCATTTGCGGTTTTGCAGCTGAGGATGGTGGTTCGGTAAAACCATCGAAACTAGTCCTGTGAAAAATTTTGAAAATATAACACTGATTTTTGCTGTTTGACTATTGAATTTGTATTTATTCGACGTGTTATTGTGTTTTAATTACTAACACCTTCTTTAACAGCATAAAATGTGTTTCATTTTGTTTTCCACAAACATCACATCATAGCGATTCAGCATCCAATTATCCCGTTGTTCCTTTTCAGTAGTTTTTTTTTCGGGGGGGGAGGCATTATTTATTATCCTCTGGTAAGTAGTTTCGGTTACTCGGTATGTATTTCATATTTTGCCGGTTTGTCATTTGGCACTCTACAGAATGCCTAGGCGATGTGTGTAATGTTTAATCTTTTATGCATTGTCGCACAGTTTTTCGCCATTCTATAGAACGCCGGATTTCATTCTTTGCTGGTGACATACATGTGGTAAAATTGGGTATTACGGGCTAGTTTGGCGCGTTTTCGAAAAATCGCCAATTCGCTTATACATACATATCAGTTTCCAAATGAATTCAAAGTTCTAAAAGTGGGATTAACTTAATATCTACTTGGTATGATTCAAGAGGGCTAGAAAGTAAATTATACGTAAATGAATAATTTTTATATTTTTAAACTACATATTTAAACTATATTTATATTTTTAATAATTTATTTCACGTTATTTTAATGCATATATATATAGCGTCAAAAAATATAAAATGTTTGTTATTAAATACTAAAATAATATTATATAATTAATATAATATTCATATTTAACCGTTAAAATTAATTAGAGATTATTCAGCATGAATTTTGAAACTTATTAAAAATAGTAAAAGATAATTATAAAATGTTCTGGCATTTATATCTCTTCCAAAATACATGAAAGAACTAAGATTTTAGTTAAGCTGTCTCTAAATATTTACTTTCTGCAGGATTTTTACTTCGTTGATTCATTAAAACAACTTAATGAAATGGTGCCCCTTAAATAAAGTCTCCGTATAGACCTTTCATAATTTTATTAAAACTGTTATCTAACCTTTAGTTTATTCGGGATGGCAATTTCCCTTTTCTAAATTACGGGTTAACTTTGCTTGGATTCCTTGACCCTATCACCGCCGTTGTATTTTGAGCTCGATAGATGGCGCTTTTAACTGCCGCTGCAGTAGGATTTTGTTTTCATTTCTTTCTGGCATTTCTAAGGTGATTCTCGGGTGTGAAATCAAGGTTCTTCACGCTAGCATACACACCTGACCTCGTGGTAGAAGTGATTGCTACTACTGTTGTTTCACAGCTATTTCGAAGGCTGACAGTGTCGTATTGAAAGTTTGCTAGCTAATTTTTATTGATTATGCAATATTTAAAAATGATGATATGAACTGATATTTTCGACACAGTGTTCAGCTGGAAATCTTTACGGTAAGTACCCCGTCCATTTTTTAATGTCAAGTGCTTCTTTGTCAGAAAATCTTGCGCTGATAAATTGGTTTACTTCCAAAACACTTTTAAAGTGTAGATCGTTTGCTTTTGCATTTGTAATGCATCTCTCTCTCTCTTTGCACTTAATTTACATATGCTCTCTCTGAATTTAAATGATATTGCAAATTAGTGCGCGTAAGACCTTTACGGCTGCGCATATGCGTGTGCTCAAGCGCATAATACGTTTACGCATGCGCGTTTAATGTATAACGGACGGTATAAGCTAAAATTATCTAATTATCTATTTCAGTTAATGTTGCAGATTGCGTTGTTCCTTAATCTTCGAATTGGATCCGGCTTATTATTTTTTGCAGACTGTTAGAGCAATTTTATAAAAGTAAGCTTGAACTTTCGATTATGTCAAATAGAATTTCCGATGCTGGAGCTCCCAAAAGATCTACAAAGCGAAAGTATGTTTCGGTGTCCATCAAACAAAAAGTGGAATTGCTGCAAAAAATGGATAAAGGCATGAAGAAAGTGACAGAGAGGTTAGTGAAAACGAAAAAATTTCGATTGACAAGTTAGTCGGTATTCTCGGCACAGCAATTACGGGACTTGAACAGCGGAACTTTGTAACTGAACAAGACATTATGTCTGTTTATATATAATTAAAGAGAAAGTATTAGCACATAAAACAAAGCAACTTACATTGAAAAAAATGTTGAATAAAACAAATAAATATTAAGCTTTTTTTGTTGTAAATTTTGATACCCTTTAGATCACAATTATTCTTTATTTCATAAATTACGGTTTCATATTTTTAATTGTATAATTTCTGCATGCCATCTCACCAGATTTAAACTCATGATCTATAATCCGGAAAAATCGATAATCCGGAATCGCCGAAGTCCCGACGAGTTCAGATTAACGACTTTTGACTGTATATGTTTACTTATTAAAAAAAAATCTTATGTATCGTATGCAGTTTTTGTAAAAAAATAAATCATATAAAATCTTCCAGAAATATGTGTAAGGTATGACCGTATTTAAGAAAATAACTGGTAGTTAACTGTTAGATATTTTTAAAAAAAAGATCAGGTAAACAAGTAATATACTACACTAGTTAGCTCTAATGGTTTTTCTAGTTCGTAACTTGCATTTCAAGACCTGGAAGCACGGCTATTCTGTCACGATTTTCAGATTGCATCAGTGGCGAACAGTGCAGATGTATTTAATTGATTTGTTGAGATGCAGTTAAATGGTTTTTCGTTTTGTTCGCGTCATTGTTTAAAAGTTCCACCATTGGCCGAATTTCTTAATCTACAAGTATAAAGATATT